CCCCAAAACCCCAAAACCCCAAAACCCCAAAACCCCAAAACCCCTCACAATAAGGTAGTATTGAAACCTTCAAACCAGATTTTATAGAATTGAGGTATGGGTTATAAACCGTAGCCAAAATAGAAACTTTCATCCCCATTTTGTCTAAAATTGGCAGTATTGTACATACTATCTGGAGGCCACAAGAAGAGCTATTAGGCTAGAGCTGAATCAGGAGGTACGCTAGTACTATTAATTTAAGCCTAAACCTCAACCGAAAGCATTCATTCTTTTCAGAACTTTCTTTAACAGGAATAAGAGATTCTTAAAATTATGTCCTTGATTATTATTCAGACCAAAACGTGTTAAATTTTGGTGGAGAGATCTATAAAGCTGTAAAAACTCCTCGGAAAGAACCTTGTCATGATCATCGTTTCTGAGACAATAATTGCCAAAGATTTCGCATGAACCTGATGCGTTTAATGGTTGATATTAAATGGTTTATGAAACTTGAAATCAGCCATCATGGAAAGCTTACCTTTAATTACTCTCCGTTGACAAATTAATAGGTATGCCAGGATAGGGCCATTAGAAGCCTGCCAGCTTCCTAACTTCTCTGTACTATCCTATTTAGCTATGGCAATATGAACTCACCAGAGAGTGTACGTGGCCTAGGTGATTTATAAGATCAAACAACAACAAAAAATGTTATAAACTTATAAAAATGGGGAGAAAACTTTAGTATCTTGCTAAGAACCCTGACAAACTGTTCAAAGTCAGCCATTATTAATTAAGTTAAGTTATTTTTGAAACTTTGGAGGATCCTCAGCCTTCTTTGCTTCTTTAGTGTAGTAGTGCAAGGAATCTGGTACTGAGAAATCTCTACCCTCTTCGAGACGACTGGTAGGTCATCTACCTTGCTTGGCTTCTTCTTAATAACCCTGATCTTCTTAGACTTTTTCTTCTGAGAAATCTTTCAGTATGGTGAAACAGAGGATTTATTCGTATTTAAAGAAGACTGGATTGTTAGGATGCTAGATTCACAAGCCGTCTTAGAGCTACCAGAAGAAGTCATGGTAGAGGATGTTTCCTTCCTCACCACTGAAGTTTTTCCTTTGACTGAAATAGGGGTGACACAGTCTTCAACCTCACTGTTGAATTTTCTGTCTTGAGGGATATCAAATCTGATAATCCGTTTTACTCTTTTCGTGAGCAAATTAGAACTACTTCGTGTCCTTATTTTCAAAATACTCCGAGGCCTGCTCTCCTTATCAACACCAGGTTGCTGCCTCCAATTCTGGTCCAAGTTGGAAACAGTAATATTTGGAAATGATCTGCGTGATTTGGTCTTTTTGATAGACCCAGATTTTGAAAAATTGGGAGAAGCAGGTTTAAAATACCTCTCAAGTGTCGAAGCATTGTACACAAGTTTAGTTACAGATTTAGCTGGGCTTGGGCCATATTCCTTTAAATCCCAATTGATTTTAGTCAAGCAAGAAGGACTAAAACTCTCTGCTGAAAATCTTCTTCTAGACTCCAGCCTTAGCACGTGAGATTTCTGCTGGGCTCTGGAACTTGGCATTTTAGGCGGCTTGACTACCCTGATCGTATTATTCTTGGTATTCATAGTTGTAATATTATATGTTCAGTCAGTAAATAATTAACTGGGGTTTTGGGGTTTTGGGGTTTTGGGGTTTTGGGG